CTGTTACAGAAATACAAAATCAGGATTGTAATTTAAGCTGTTAAGTAGAAGCTGTGGGATTAGAACCAGACCTACTTTACAAAAGGTTCATTTTACAGAATTTTATTTTCTTCACAATAATGCAGTAGCAAATTGTGGATATGGATTTTCTTAGAGATAATTTCTCATTTCAGAGGCTCCTTCTTTAACATGGGCTCCACATACCTCCATGGGTGAATAGTCTTGACTCTTATGTTTGCGTAGGGTTAAATGGAAGTGACACAGATGGCATTTTCAAATGTTCATAGCAACCTGTTTTGGTTTTCCCTGTTACTTAGAAGAAATATGCATAATCATAAATTTAGTGGTAGATGGATATTGACTTTAGCTGAATCTTAACACATATAGAAACTACTGACATTTAGACAGTTGATGGAAGTTGAACAGGGTTTTTCACAGTGGTCTTCAAAGGCAGTGCCTTCCTTATGCTTGCTTTACATGGACCCAAATATTCCCTTCATGAACCTTGCTAGGATTGGCCATCCTGGTACCACATGAATATATCTCTCCAACTTTGAAATTGGCTTTGACAGTTATCTAGCACAAAGGTCCTTGTAGTTGAGCTATTGAAACCTTTGTTTTGCCTTCTTGATGCTTAAATACTCCATGTTTTTTAGAGTTCACTCTCTCAAAGCATGACTTAACTGGTACCATCTCATGTTAAAACATCACTACTGAGTGTTCTATGAATCTCACATCTTCCAATATTGTTTATTCAGCTCTTTGCATTTGAAAAGTTTGTCTTCAGCTAAAACCTAAAGGATTGCACCACAGCTGGGAAGTGAACTCCTTTAGCATCACGAAGAGGCAAGGGCAGTTAGTAAGTACAGGGATCAAAAAGCTCTGGAAACAATGCATTGGGAAAATAAGAGGTGCAAGAAGAATCCTGTTCATTGGGAGGATAGATTAACTGACTGAGTATTGATGTTTTTATCTAAGCTGCTTCTTCCCCTTTGTTGTCCTGGACTAATCTTACTCTCTGCTGACCTTCTCCTGTGGCATTACAGCCAAATTTTGTACAATTACTTTAGCTTAAAATAAACGTGGCAGAACTGGTATCTGCCACTTTCTGTTCTGAGACACTTATTGGACATATCTATATGCTGGAGAAAAAAAATTATCTGTGTTATCCTGTAATAAACCCCTCCAAGAGAAAACATCGAGTTCAGATCATTTCTCCAACAGAGGAAGGTCTCTTCCCTTCCTCCAGAAGCAAATGCCTGTAATCCCAGCTCAGCTGCAGCTGTGCTGATAAGAGCTCAGGAGGGAGAAAGGAGAATTCAGAAGATACTGCTGCAGAGATCCTTCTGTGGTGAGCTTGGACTGTTAGGCCCGGTGCCTTAAGCTCTTTGGATTTTGGAAGGTAAATCCTATTAAATCTCTGCAGCTGCGCAATGGGGAACAGTAATTTTTATGAAAAGATAACATTCTCTTACAATACTGATTGAGCCACAAGTGTCTGAGATAAGTAAAAGCATTGAGTACAGCTTGTAGTTTGGGAAGAACTGCTGTAGATGTGGTACTCTCTCTGCTTATGCTGCTTGCATATTCTTGCACTTTTCCTAGGGACTTCTTTAGCTTACCTTTCTCCAAATTTAGGGAAGTGTTAAATGAAGAGTGTATCCTCCAAAGATACCAGTCACCGTGTAAACTATAAACGTCTTATTCTCAATCACAATATCTGCAAAGCATGCTGATGGGGGCTTTAAAAGCAATGTAAATTAATTATAATTTAGCCAATTAAGTTGGTTTTGCGTAATTAAATGATTGGGATTGTAGGATTGACGTGCATAATGAATTTACATTTTAAATGCTGTGTTCTGAAGTTTTGCCTGTATATTAATTGTTCATTTTGCTGTAATACAGAACCTAAATGCTGTCCATCAAATAGCTGAGAAAGCAAGAGGTTCTCCTTCTTTCTATACAAGAAGTATATATTCTCTGTGGCTGGGTTCCTTTCAGTGGTCATTCTGCACTTCCAGGGTTTCACTGGGGAAGTGAAGCAGTTGACAAAAGGTGACAGCATTTTAATCTAAAGATTTCCTTTGCTTAATGAGAGGCACCATTGACACAGTTACTGTCCATTGACATAGTTATTGTCTTGTCAGTCCTTGATTTAGTATGCAATACAACATCTCTTAATCAAACCAAGCGAAATTCCCACATTAGAAAAGAGTAAAAATAATTTTTAGGTAGGTCTGTGCTACTCAGTACGTGGAGCAGTGCAGTAGCAGGTAGAGTTTATATGCATTTACCTTCTCCCCATAGATTAAAACATAGATTAAAACATAGCAATATCCCTGCTTCCACCTGTAGTGATGAATCTGCTTGAAGTTTATCAGCTGTAATGTATGTATGCCACACTCAGAGTTTGAGATAAAATAGTTGTTAACCTCCAAGGGTGAAGATGTAGCCTGTGGATAAGTATACCTTATTCTCCAAGCTGAAAATAAATTCTACTTTATTTCCACAGTAGCGATGATTTAAAGGCTGGTATTTTATTTAATTGTGATATTTACAAAGGTGATACACACAGGTATGATTTGTTTACTTGTATGACATTCCTTCTTCACAGCATCAAATGTGAACTGTAGAAAATAAGACTATGAAGTGCTGATTTCTTTTCTAGAAATGTTTATCTGAAAGTGCGTCAAAGTTAGGATTATTTTATTCTAGCCCCTGTATACTTCACTAGATTTCTGGTGCTCACATGAGGTGACTCTTCTCAGTAAAATAATAATCGTAATTATTTGGATTTAGTTCATAAATATTTTCTGATAGTTTGTGGCACAGCGTTAGTTGAATGCTTGGGTCTTTTTTCCCCTTTTATCTGACAAACAGCAGTTTTAAGGCTCTGAAATTTTAGACCAACACTAGATATCTGTCAAGACAAAGTCAAACTGCTAGCCTGTATAAGTAAGCAGAAAATAAATAGTTAAATAGTACCTTTTGTTTTGTAGTGCTTTCAGTTTAAGATGAGGTAAAGGAAGCCTCATTTTTTTGGAGGTTTCATTACAGAATTAAGTAGTCATGTAAGCAAATGATGACCATCCTACTGAAGCTGAATGTCTTCTTTAGAGTAATGTGTTATTCTAATATGTTATTTCTTTGCTCTGAAAGGAATTAACATGTAAAGACTATTGTTTTCTTGAAAACAGAACTCTAGAACACCAATATTTATAGCTTTTTATGGTTTAGACAAAAGGTCTTAGAAACTGCCTTTCTAATGCACAAAAATGTGTAGATGTTTTACAGTAAGGTAAGGCTGCACTATTTTTTTAAAAGCCCGTAATGTCCTATTTAATTTTCTAATAATGAGCTTCCTTCTGCTTCTTTTGCTCCGTATTTCAAAGCATGCTTGCTTTTGTCTAACTGTAGCTCCTTGGTTTGAATATAATTACACTGAGGGAAGGGGTGCCTCTCTTAAGGTTCTCTCCTAAAGGCCAGAAAGTTCTGCTGCTTTATGTATTCTTATTAAGAATGTAGATGAAGTTTAGGAGAGGGAAGATCTCAGTGGATTTTCCATAGAGCATGCGTTAGCAACAGAATTAACTCTAATGAGTATACTTGCTAAAGGTCTTTGGAAAAAAAGGAAGGCATTAGCTGGCAGTGACAATTCCCATTGGGGAAGAGCTTCAGAAAACATGTGGGTCATATGTTTTGCATTTTGTGATATATATATATATATTTATTATTATTATTTTTCCACGTTTACTTTGAGCTAGAGAATCTTGAGGTTCTTGTAGTGGATCAGGCTGTCTCTGAAGAAACAGCTCTCTCATTTCACTGTGTTATCATTCCAATCTCAAATGGAGGTGACTAGATGAGAAGGCCGAAGAGGAAGCTGTGCTAAAGAGCTTCTCTGGAAGTTTTCTCTAGAACCTATCTCATTCTGCAGTAAAGATGTAGAGCTTTTATTTTATTTTTTTCCAAGTATGTTTATCGAAAGTGTATTTGTCATTCTTCGTGCTTAGACTCTTCCTCTGATTTTCACTCCTTGGAAGCCCATTTTGTATAGCTCAGACATTAGCCATAAGCTGTTTAAGTATAAACATTTGAAAGGTTGTTTGTGGCTTTATTTGAAATGCTTCAAAAGTAGTTTTCACCTTAGAAGATTTCTTTTATATAGTTCCCTAATCCATTTTTATTCAGACACTGCCTAATACTAGCATTGGCATAGTGGATGCCAACAGATCTTTGGAGGGCTCCCATAAGCAAGAACCTTTTGGTTTACCCCCTATATTTTGTCTTCTTTTTAGGTTAGAAACAAGATGACTGACAGTTTGTAATATCTATTTTGCAGACAACTTTGCCATAGCAACAATGCAAGCTTTGCTCTTGCCTATTTTTCCCATTCTCTAAATATGCCTTTTCATGCATGTGTTCATGCATGTGTGTGCTTCCTTAGTCTGAGATGCTTCCTTAGTTTGAGGTGCTTTCTTCCCAAGGACCTGATGTGGCTGGTGACATGTTAGCAGCATTCCCTGGCCTGAGCCATCCTCACAAACTGTTAGAAATACCGAGATTTTTTGAAACAAAATGAAGTCAATATTCAGAATCTCTCTCAGGACAGATAAAATTTAGCTCCTCCCTTTGAGTTCATCCCAGTGCACTGACTCTTTCTGAAATATATCTCACTATACTGGCGACCGTTAGCCTTCACAAGATTGAAAAAGATTTAGAAATATGTGTATATATGTGGTTGAGTTAAGGTGATACCTGCTGGATCTACTGGAACTGCCAAGCCAGGGGGCAGAGGGGAACTTTCAAAGTACTTAAATAAGGAGAGAATCTGAAAAAACTTACTTCTACTTATTATATAATACATCTCTTTGCTCCCTCAGATTAGTTCTTTTAGCTATGGCCGCGATGTGTAAAAATAGTGACATGCTGTTGTTGGAAATAAATTACATTGTGCATTTTTCTGCATTTCAGAGGGGCCGGATGGGTAGAAAGGGCTGTGTTTATATATTTCACTTCCCCTTACTCGACAAACCACCAGCTTTTATCTAAACTGTACAAAATATTTAGTTTCAAACAGAGTTGCCTTAATAAAACTGTACTTTTCAGGCTCCTTGCAGTATTGCAACTTCAAAAAAGGAAAAAAAAAAAAAAAAAAAAACCTAAACGAAACTGGACTATTGATGACAATGATGACAGTTCTCTGGATCTGGCTGTGTTTTGTGCAGCAGCAGCTCTCCCCAGGGTGGACCTGTGTCCATGCACACAGCCCAGCCTTCTCCTGCCACTGAACAGAGCAGCCCTGGTGCGTGTGGCAGAGCTGAGGAGCTGGCGTGTCCCCCTGAAACTTTCTCCCCCATCCCTGCTGTGGGGTGTGTTCCTGTGCCGAGGAGGGGGAGAGAGAGACCCAGTGCAAAGGAGAGCAGGCGAGGAAGCCAAGGGAGAGAAGGGAGCTTGTTTCATGCACTGCTGAAGGCTGTCAGAGGCAGAGCGTACCAGCAGCTCACTGGTTGGGGTGCAGTTGAAGGGACAGCGTTTATTGACTTGATCCACTGAATTGCTGAAGGACAGATATGACATCTGACTGGTGCGTCTATGTATTCTTGCTTATTGGAACAAAGGGTAAGTGCATCTGCCTCCTTTTCTTTGAGCATTGCAAAGCATAGAGCTAATAAACTTAAGTAGCAGATTTTGAACTACTACTCAGTGCTATTTTATGCTTCGTGATGGCAATTATTCTTTGATGGAACCTAAGTATAATACAGTCTCTCAGTTTTAATAGCTACACTCTGGGATCAACTGATTTTTTGTTTAATGCTTTGAGGGTTGCTATTACTAATTATGAGCCAGAATGCAAATAAAAGGAACAGTTTAAGCTGCAGACAGGCTCGCTGTAAATATTTCATAAAGGTACCTTTAGAGCCAACTCATTTTATCTGCCTTGAAATCCACATTGTAGACTTCGTTCAGTAGTTTGCCACAATAGTGCACGGTGCTATTGGAACTGGTTGTTCCTGAAAAGTAGATCGTGCTCAGGTAGCAGAAATCTTACCGTCTGATTCAGCATGTGGTATTCAAGTAGCACGAAAGGTGAAGGTCGAATTAAATTCAAGTTTCCCTTCAGATGCAAAACACTTCAGTAAGGTGGGAGTTTCACCTTCCCTCCTGCTTGCTTTAGTAACGTTTTCCTCATTCCAGCTGAGTGCCTGTGTGTAGGTGCTGCTTGCTCCTGGGGTAAAGCTGACCCTGTGCAGCTGCTGATACAGATCTGCACATGGGATTGTTGTAATGGCTATCATCTCCTTCGATTCTGATTTTTATGTTAAACATTGCTTGTCGTTGCAGTAGTAAACATGAAAGTAATGCTTCAATAATTTTGTAGGGTAGCCAATAGTGTAAGGCTGAATTCTTTTGTGTGGAACAACAGCTGGCTCTCTGCTGCTTTTAAATTAAACCTGTTTCAGTTTTCCTGTGCATACTAAGCCACGTAACACAGGATATATAAGGGATGTTGCTCTCATTAAGAGTGGGAAATACAGTCATATTTATGGTAGCAAAGCTCAGTTAAATCTGTGGGAAAACTGTAGGTTGGTTCTGTAATGTTTTGGAGGAATACATGATTGCTGCAAGTGTGGTGGGAAAAAAACCAGCAATGTTAATATATTAGAAATTAAGCAGGCTGTGGTAATGAGATCTTAACAAGCCTGTGAGAAAAGTATGGCTTCATATATGTCTGCATTCTCCATGAGCAGTAATTCAGTATTTAAAGATAGTACTTGAAGTTATGCAGAATATAAACTGCAGAATTTCAAACAAATTAAGCCTTTCACATTCTTGTTGCTATAGCAAAGCAGGAAAATGTTGAGACATTCATACAAGGCGTGCAAATTGTTGTTGGCATCATTTTTGTTGCGTTATATTCACCTCAGCTGTAGAATTTATACAATTTAATGAAATATTTTAAAGCATTTTGCAAAATGTACTTGCAGATAGGGTCTGTGAATGACTACAGGCCTTCCAGTGCTGTGTTCTGATGGCCATTCCATTCTCAGGTACCCATTGTCTCTTCGTACCTGGCATATTACAACCATAGGAGAAATGGCTTATCTAGATGTGATAGATGAGCAGTGCAGCTGCAGGTCAGACTGTGCATGCCTAGCTCTCTGCAACCTGTTAGGGCTCTATTTGGCACATTTCTTATTTAGTGCCACTTCTCCTGAACTCACTCAAAGCACAGTCTGTGGCTCCATTGCCCTCCAGAGCTTTGGCCAGCAATTCTGCATTGTAACCTCACTTACACACTTCTTCCACATGATGGATTCAAACCCTGCTTAAATCTCTAGCTGATTTTAAAACAAACTCTTCTGAAGGAATTATAGTTGTGTTTGGAACTTGATTTTGTTCGTTATGGGCTGCTAGAAGTAAGGATGTATTTATTCATTTTCTTAATTTCCACAACTCACAGATGCTCCTAAAAGAGTTAAATGAGAAATAGGAATCTCTCAGAAGTTACTCTTGCCTGACCCACCCATATCCATTCCATTATTTTAACGTTCATCAGCTACAGTTGCACCTAAATAATTTCAACTGCCCATTCACCTTAGTCTGACCTTAAGTTCTTTATTAAATCTTTTTATGTGAAAACTTTCCATTTTTTCGTTCTTCATAAAAAGAATTAAGAAAAAAAAAACAAAAAAAAAAAACAGGAAGCAACTGGTAGAAATGTAGCTTTTTATATACCAGTAAATCTTGGCAACTGCCTGACTGCAGTATAATGTCATGCGGGCTATTTTACACCATATGGAGGATTTTCTTTGAAAACATCTGTACTATGATCTTCACCAGTGTCAAAGTATCAATTGTGATATGATGACCCTGAAGGGCCAGGTTTTGGAGCTGACAGCATCCCATGGGTACTTAGGATGAATGTCTGCCTGAGTGCTTGCTCGCCTGCTGATGCTCAGAGGCTGCTTAGGCACGTGGTTGGCCCTGCAATGGGTGCTGCTGCATCTTCCCTGTTGTTCAAACCATCAGCTGTCATGATCACAGCGTGGGTATTTGTCTCTAGAGTCATTTTGATTTACCTTCTGGGGACAAAAGCTACTTCAACCTCCTAAACTTGCCATTTCACAGGCAGACCTTCTAACAATCCATTTCTCAACCACTAAGAAAAGCTGAACAACGTTAGTGTCTAAAACTACTCAAACTGGAATGCAAAAGGGATCACTTATTGGAATTTGATTTTGTTCGTTATGGGCTGTTAGAAGTAAGGATGTATTTATTCATTTTCTTAATTTCCACCACTCACAGATGCTCCTAAACCTGTGTCTGTCCAGGGATAATTTATCATCTTAAACCTGTGTCTGTCTGTACAATCTGTGCAGGAAAACCTGAAGTTTTCCAATCCTATTTCTTCTTATCCCTATAACTCCCTTTCTTATGTCCTTTTTTCTTTTTCTTTTTCTTTTTTTTTTTCCCTTCCTTTCCTTACCCTCATTTCAAAATGAAAGGGAGGCTTTCTTAAAGCCATCTGAAACTTGTTAGCCCATCTTGCTCTTCCTGCACATGACGGCTGTTTTCAAGGCCAAGATCTCTTGTAGCAAATGCTTTCTGTCAAATGTAGGACAGAGACCAACCCAAATCATCTGCAGAAGTGTAATATGATAATGCAGGATAGTGCTCTTGGTTACATTTTATGTAACACATTTTGAGATCGCTTCCCGATTTATAAACAGGAAAGTGAAATTACTCAACCACTGCATGAGCTCTTATCACTGTGTAATAATAATTTTTGGTTAATTTCTCTTTGCTTTCACTTGTGCACCTTGTATATCGATATGTGCAACAAAATACAAGATCCTTACAGCAAATCAGGGATGAACTGAGCAAGTAAAAGCTCTGGAAGTCAGAGCATTATTGTCTGCACAGGCTGTCTGCATCCACCTTTGGGCAAGGCTGCTTCCTCCCCTTTGGTAATAAAGATCAGGGCTACTGACTTGCAAACCTATCTTAACTCTTATAGCAACTCTACCAGGCTTTAATTACTTGCTTTGACATGTGCAATATGGACTTCATTTCTTTTCCACTTTAAATTAAAAGATACTTGTGTAAAGCTGCCAAAAGCACTGGAATTTTCCAGAAAAAAAAAAAAAGGAATTGATAATTCACACGTTGAATGATTCTGGAAATCTTATATTAATCAAATACTTCTTGCTTGGTATCAGATGCTTGAAATTTGTTGACAAAGAGAATAATCTTGCACCAAAGTGTACTTTCAGCTTTCTATACAAAACTTAGATAACTGACATGCCCACTATAAAGATTTCTGCAACTAATCAATAGAAATTTCAATATTCTGTGCTTCCTAAGTCCAAATTTGAACGTACTGATTTTCCATGCAAAGCAAATTGCCAGTGCACTATCAGCACAGTATGAGGGAGGATACCAAATCCTTTTATGTCCACAGGTATTTTCTCTGATGCTTTGTAATCACTTGGAATCTAATTTTTTTTTTTTTTTTTAATATTTCTTTTCCTCTGTGCTTAAAGTAGGAAATGCCATTTCTTACAAGAATAAGAGCATCTGTAATATTTCTCTGTGAAATCCCTGTGTATGAGAGATGGTGCTCTTACAAGCTGCCCTGCTAGACCAGAAAAGCTTATTCAAGCTTAGTTATGCTCATGTAAAGCTCGGGTAAAAAATTACTTAAAAATCACCAACAGACTTTTCTGAACCTTAGAGACCAATGTGGAGTCCATCAGAACTGTCACCAGTGATCTCAGAGAGGGTTTCTTGGTAATGCTGTATCCCCTATCTGTTCAAGCCATCAAATCAGGCATCACCACCTCAAACAAGACATTCTGGGGTTACGAGAAGCTGAGAGTCACTGGGGTTGTGTGTGAAAAGCAGAATGGTGAAAACGTATTGGAAAGGACTGAGCAAGTAGAGATTAAAAGGAGGAGGTGGGTCAAGAGAGAAGAGACGTGAAGGGAAAAGTCTAACATTACTTAGAAAAGGAACTGGAAATCAGAAAAGCTGTAAATCTCCAAAGGCAGAAACTGACAAAAAGGCTGTGTAAAAGGGAGCTGGCAGGGAACAGTGAATTAAAGGATGGGGAGCTCAGAGAGGAAACCAGACTGCCTGGAGAATAAGTTGAGAGAATGGTGATCCCATGCTGGCAGGAGGAGATGAGTGGGGGGGAAGTCTGTAGTGGTGCTGGGCAAGAAGAGGTGGAAGTGGGGTAAGCAGCCATGGCCAAGCAGAGAAAAAAGGATCTGTGTTTGCTGTGGTGAGTGGTCTTCTGCAAAGCTGGAAAGGAAGCTCAAGATTGTCTCACTGCAAAATGTCTCCACCTCCTGCAGAGTAACATCTCTGATCAGGGGCTGATAATTAAAGCTTTCAGGTTCGGAGAGTTAAAGGTTGTGAACTGGTGATGTGACACGGTGTCATTTTATGAAATGTGGAAAGAAAATTGATTTCCTCTTTAAGAGTCCAGGATGTTATCTGTATCAAACAGCATTATCAATTTTGCAAATGCTGTTTGCATCATCTTGATTCTTATGCTTACTTTATCTTATGTACCCATAGTACATTTTCTTCACACTGTAACTTCCTGAGGATTT